TTGTTGAAATGAAGAAATGGAATTCATTGAATTTCATTTTCTCATGAATACCTTATAAATATTGATAATGAATCAAAGAGAATTCGACTAATGATTGAAGTGAATAGCGAAGTAGAGTAAAAGAATCTATAAAGAATTTTTCATTTTCAATTAATTATCTTCAATTTTTCAATTTTTCTTCAAAAAATTGAAGATAATTAATTGAAAATGAAAAATTCTTTATAGATTCTTTTACTCTACTTCGCTATTCACTTCAATCATTAGTCGAATTCTCTTTGATTCATTATCAATATTTATAAGGTATTCATGAGAAAATGAAATTCAATGAATTCCATTTCTTCATTTCAACAAATGAATAGATCAGCGCGCGCGAGAGCGCGCGCATAGATCTTGTATAATATAATTTTTATCCCACTCCCCCCTGAGAGACTAACTTTTTAAACTGGCAAGGATCTCCAATGATCGCGACGAATTGTGACTTCTCATCGCCCGGAGCAAGCACCCCAGTTCTATTAAAATCGCTAAAATAGGGTGAAAAAATCGTTGAGTCGAGGGTCAGACTGGCGTTGAGGCACACAGTCCTCCCGGTGTCGTCCTTCGTCAAGACCTCCCCAACGGGGCAGCATTTCTGCACCACCGGAAGACCCCGGTACTGCGGCGCATTAGACTCGTTCTAGAAAAAAAAATTAATCATCGTTAATGGAGTCAACGGATCGCTATGTCTCGTTATCGTTGTTATCGATATCGACACGATCGAAATTTCTTCGCTCCAACGAGGGGCCGCGCACGTTATCTGGCTGTACAACTCGAAAAATGTTGGTATACTTATGCGAATCGATAAACTTTAGAGCACGTTGTACTCTAAAAATAATCAGCGGCCAAGGAGACGCATGTTCTACGTGGTTTATTCGTCATTGTGTATGGGAGGCTCGTGTCACTACGACGATACTATTTTTTTAATTTATGCATTATGAAAAATGCGTTTGTAATTAAATGTTCAATGAATATTTGTGATAATACTTTTAATGAATATTTGTGATAGAATTTTTAATCAACATTTTTTAGGGAATTCTGTAGAAAATAAATTTCCTAATATATTTGTAAGCCCATTTCTTTAGGAGATGATTTACAAAGTGATCTGCTAAAAAATTTTGAATCGTTCACTAAAATGTGATGAGTTAAATTGGAGTCACTTGGTAATTATCAATTTATCTCGGTGATGAGCCCATATATCGGTACAATTCTTCTATTTATGCATTATGAAAAATGCGGTCGTAATTAAATGTTCAATGAGTATTTGTGATAATACTTTTAATGGACATTTGTGATAGAATTTTTAATCAACATTTTTTAGGTAATTCATTAAGCATAAAAATGAATTTTTGGTAGTTGTAGCACGCACGAACAAATTTAATAGAAAAAGTCAATAGAATTCGATTTTTCTGCATAATTTATTCTATTAAGATATTTTCTATAGAATGACGAAAACTTAGGAAATTTAAACAGAGGAAATTCTACAAAAAATAGAATCAGTTGTACAAAAAAATGGAATTGTATTGACTTTTTCTACAGAATATTTTCTATTGAACACTTTAATAGAACCGGCCAAAAACTAATAGAAAGTTCACTAGAAATCCAATAGAATTGGCTGCCGAATTCGCTAGATTTTTCTATTAAATATTTTCGTGCGTGAGGGGTTTTAGGGAAAAATGATGACTTTTTCCGCGGGTGAAGGAATCCACATAAAATAAATTTCTGGACATTTCTATAAACCTCTTAATTTAGGAAACGATTAACAAAATGATCCCCTAGACTGTTCTGAATCATTCACTAAAATGTAATGAGTTAAATCGCAATCACATGGCAATTATCAATTTATTTAGACGATAAGACATTTTAAGAGAAAATGTCAGGAAATTCCAACAAAACATGTCCTTTAGCATTTTTCCTCAAGATAATTGCGTAGAAAAATTATTTCATTATCAACAAAACGTGCAAACTCTTCTCTCTTCAACGCATTTTATTATTCTCTTATTTTGTGACGAAATGAATGCGTATTCATCTCTAAAACGAGTCATTTAAGAGAAAGTGTCGAGACACTCTTTTCTGTCTGACGAAATAACCATTAAACTCATTTATAATTGAGATAATCTCCTGGTAGTAAGAGCCTTCGAACAATTATCACAAAAAAAAAACAAATAAAAATCCAAGGAATTCGCTAGAAAATTCTATTGAATTTCCGTTACTTTTTCGCTGATTCTATAAAAGAAGCAGTTTTCCTTTGTGTTTTTGTTTTCAACAGAAATGTTTAATAGAACATATCCTACAAATTATTCAATTGAAATATTCTCTATAGAAATACCTCGGCTGAAATTGCCTATTTTTTTTTATTTTGCGAGAAAAAAAGTAGTGAAAAACGCGTTGAAAATTAATGTCGAAAAAAGCCTATAGAAAACGTCTCGTATGGAAAAAGTTCTGAAGAAAGATCAAGTTCTCTTGATTTTTCCCCAAAAATAATTTCTATCGAACATTTTTCATGAAGAAAACACGGAGTAAATCTGCGGGATTTTTCAATGGACTCATCGAAAACCTAATAGAATTTTTAAAAAAAAACTCAATAGAATTTTCTAGCGAATTCGCGAGGTTTTTCTACAAAAATTGTTCGCGCGTGTCAAATCCTTCCATCACATCCCATGACTTCTTACCCCCCCAACAATACTCACAATCGATATCTGATAAATAGTAGGATGTGCATCGCTCGTTAGATCACTAGACCCGGAAGCGCATCTGTCAATTAGATAAACCAACAGGTAAAAACATATCACAGAACAGTGGCTGTTAGTCCTAACGATTTCCGCACTCAGTCTATTCTTCATACACCTCCGGTTGAAATACATCTCTAACTGCTAATCACTCCAACTCCCACGTAAGAATACCAAAAAATAACTGTCCTCCCACTTGAATATTTTCTCCGCTCCCCTCGACCATTAAAACTCAATTTTCACAATTTTTTTATTTTTCACATTCTCTCACATCTTTATTACACGCTTCATGTTCCCATATCTTTTGGGGTAAACTTATTGTGGAGAACAATTGCGTGCGCGCTGGAGTGTGCCGTAGAACCGACTGAATCTCTGCTACTCGTGACTACCTCTCACTCAGAACGCGAGTTCCCGGTCATTGCGAGAATGTGGGAATCACCGGTATTTTTTTTAAAGCGCTCCATTCAATATTAAATACTATTGATTGTTTTTGCAGAATAATTAGATAATCAATGAAACAATTGATTAAAAAATTAATTGATTGATTAATTGGACGATTAACTTACCAATTAAATAATTAATCAACTAACTAATGGATTAATTAATTAGACACTTAATTACTGAATCAATCCAAATTAATCTGAATTAATGGATTCATTAATTAGACACTTAATTACTTAATTAATCCATTAATTAAAATTTCACTAAATTCATAGAATCATTAATTAATTAATCACTTCAACAATTAATTTACCAATTAATAGATTAATTAGTTGCAAAAATAATCAATTAATCAACTAATTAATTCATAGAATTATCGATTGATCAATTAATTTTCGTTATGAAAATATTTTTTCAAGCTTGAAAATGAGACTTCGTTCATCTAAATTGAATCATGATACTGATGATTGAAGACGTTTTACCCCACTTTACCCTAATACTGGAGGAGTTTCAGACTAGGTTTATGGTACAGAATGAAATGTTTATGATTGGAAAAATTGAGGATTTGATTTGTCAGTTTCTGTGCTAGAGAGCGATTTCTGAAATTTCGGAGGAATTCTAGGAAATTCTTGGGGATTTTTGCATATTTTATGGAAAATTTTATGAATTTCAGAGGCAGATGCCTAGTGGCGACGTAGTCACTAAAATACGGGGGCCAATGGGAAACATAGACACCTTAATTTTTTTTTCAATAAGATTTTTTTTTTATACGAAAAATACAATTCAGTAGCAAAGTGGTAAAACGGTTCAAGTCGACTCATCTCCCAGTTGTTTTTGACGAATATTTCCGAATCTAAGGGAGATAGCGAAATTTTCGTAATTACATTTGTTGTAGCTCTCAATCGGCTCTACAAAAATGGTTATAATAGAAATTTTGCTATCTCCCTTAGATTTCGAGATATTCACTGAAAACTGGTCAATAGTCAAAATTTACTTGTACCGTTTTACCACTTCGCTACTGAATTTTTCGAAATGTGAACATTCAAAAAATTCAAGTGCTCATTTTGCCACATTTACAATTAATTGTCATTTGGATGTAAATTCAGTAAGTTTATGAAACATCGATGGATAGAAAAAAATTATCGGAGAATGTGGAGGTGCATAACACAGCGAATTATTCCTGATAGACGGCTCACTATTCTGGAACAATTTTACGTCATTCCTCCCTCATGAATGACGCGCTTTCCTCGAGAACGGGTTCTTCCCCGCGCGTGCCCCCGGATGAAGTCAAGTTTATTTACCAACTGAACTGTGGGCAGATGTTCGATTAATCGATCCAGTCATGGTTAAAAAATTTTTAAAAAGTGATGAGTCGTGAGTAGTGTCGATTCAACGTGGGAATTTCAGATAAAACGGTAATTAATTTTCTCGAGAGTTATCAAACATGAATGACTGACGACAATGGTGAACGTGCTTGAAGTGGATTTTACCTAATAACATGCAAATGTTGTTTGAGAACGGGTAACGGGATAAAAAAACTCGAGACAATCGTTATTTTCCTTAGTCTCTTGGCGTCAGTATGTTTCTAGTATTGAGAGATATGGAAATTGACGGCAATGGAGGAAGAATTTTTTTAAAAGAAAATGCTGATTTTTTTCCTCATTTTTATCAATTCTGGATTCGAGTCTAGAATTAATTTGTTAAGATTAATGTAAAGGTTTTGTGTATTGTGTAACGTTTTTGCGTCACTCGTAACACTCTGATGACAAGTGTTACGTTTTTGTGTCACACTTGACTCTTGTGAGCTTCAAAAATCCGAAAAAGAATTCGAAAATGAGGGTGTAACGTTTTTGCGACACGTGTAACGTTTTCGCGTCACACCTAAACCTCGTGGCCCTTGCTTTTTTTCGAATAAACTCAAACTAATAGTATATTTCGGTACAAGTGAGACAGTGTCAAATTAGTAGTATTTTTCACGAATGTGAAGCCAATCCGTAGAGATGGGCGATACGCCTCGATATATCGAAGTGTCCGATATTGTAGATCGATATACCGAGATTTTTCTACCGATATTTTTGAGGACTAATATATCGCTATTTTTTCGTCAATATCGAAATCTAAATTTGTTTCTAATTTTCTAGAATTTCGGAAGAGAATAAATGAAATGTTACCAAGAAAAAAGAGAAATATTGTTTTCAATACCGCACGATTTTATTTATTTCAGATTTCATCGGGCCCCCTCACTCCACCCATCGGCATCAGACCATCATGATCACTCTAGTTGGTTTTCCCGGCTTGTCATTGGTGAATATTTGAGATGAAAAATATCGGTATATCGGTTGAACGATATTTTTTTCAAAATATCGAGATTTTCGAACCGATATTTTCAATTATATCGATAGTTGCGATTTCGATATTTCCTTTAATATCGCCCATCCCTACCAATCACACGAGTTGAAAATTCCCGTCTCACACGTGTCAAACAATATTTTTCAACAGTGATATTACGTTAGGCGAGGGGTCGAACGAAACGAATGAGTAAACGAAACGGCCCTTTTCGTTTGCGGAAAAGTGTTTTTTGGCTCGTGAGAGGTTTATAGTACGAGCCGAGGGCAAGTGATATAATCCCACGAGCTTTTTCCGTACTAATCTTCACTTTTCGTCGCCCGGGGATTGATATTAAAATATCGTAGAAAAATATCGTTCACGCCTAGTGCCATGGGTTTTTTTTACTCGCGTGGTTGGCCGGTCTTCGTCTTCGGTTCGAACGCCAACTCCACGCGAGTAAAAAACCCCATGGCACTCGCCCCGAAATATACTACTCCCATGACTCATGAGTATTGAACGATATTTTTCGTGTCACGGGACCTTAAAATTAATATACACACCTAGCCATGGAAAACATCACCCTCCCCCACGTGCAAGATTGCCTTCCGAGCCGAAGAAAA